AAAGAGTGTGTATGGAGTCAGACTGCCTCTTGCTTCCTAGGCAGCTATCCTTGCTCCTTTGAAGTTCTTGCCTGGGGTCAGGCACCTAATCTTAGGTATAGCAACACCTAAGTGTAGGTGCTTAAGGGACCAATCTGGATTTTTCCTATTTGTTACTAAGTTTCTTTTGGTCATCATTTAATATTTCCTTTCACTGCCATTTGGCAGCTCATTGGTTGTTTAAAACAAAGTATGTATTCCTGTGGACTTAGTACCCATGGAAGAGAGCAAGCTCTCCCCAAAGTCACTTGGCTTCAAATACTGCCCCTCCTGGGATGGGACTATTCTCACCAACAGCAAGTTCCAAGCTCCTGTTCTGGCTGGGTGATGCCGTGTATGGGGGATGTGTCCCATCTATAACTTGCTTCCCTCCCAGACCTTGCTGGGTAATTCCATAGAGTTGGTCTCAAATCCTGGAACACAGGACCCTGCTAAGATACCTTGCCAGAGAAACTAAAGGGATGTCTACACTGTTTCCCCAGGGCTCCCAAGGTGTACCAGTCTCAAGCTTACCCTGTGCCCTTCAAGACCACTCGGCACATGCCAAATCTAGAAATGAGGTAGTGAAACTGTTGTGAATGTAATTTCCTCCTCCCCTCACATGATGGTACTCTGAAGTACACCGGGGCAGATTTTGAGAGTGGCAGCAGAGCATGAGTGATGACACCACCATCTGATTGTAGCCGAGGCCCAGGAATTCATGTTTGCTTTTCCCCAGTTCTGAACCACCCCAAGACATCTGCAGGACCCTGACCACGCTTAGCACTAAGGTTATCAGCACCACCCCTCTGTTCCATCCGGATTTAGGATACTGACAGACTTGTTTATGCTACTGAAAACACAGCCACAGTGGGTTTCAACTGCCCTTTCTACGTGGGCACTAGGTTCATCTGCATTCACAGCACCAGAACCTCTGGCAGACATCCCACCCCCCACTGCCCCCAGAACTGGAGTCCTCAGCACTGACTCTGAACTCATTCTCCTCAGTTCCCCAAATGACTATAGCTCATCTAGGGACAAGAGCCTCTAGGGACTTAGACACTCTCTAAGGGCCATGATTCCCAAGCCCATAGCCCCAAGGTCCCTATACTGCCATGTTGATGTGGCTGATTGGGCCAAAGCTCCATAGTGTGAGACTGAATACAATTACAGGTCCCAGGAAGGAACTAGGAACTGCAAATAAGGAACTGGGAATCAGAAACCAACTTCAGCCCCATCTATTGACCTAGGACCCAATCTTCCTGCCTTAGTCTTGCAGACTACCCCATAAACAGAGAATATAATCCAGTTAATGGGACCCTACCCCAGTTTAATCGGCTTCTCCAGATTCTGCAGCTGTGAGCAAACTGAGATACAGACCCAGGGGAAGATCCATGGAGGTGTACTGGTGCCACCCCTCTTTGATTCCTGCTCCCCCAAAAGTTTAAAACCAACTGCTTGGCAGTGGCAGCAGTATTTCTAGTCAGGCAGCAGTGAAGGAATCAATTGCCTTCATGGCTCATTACAATCTACCTGACCTCTTCTGAATTCTCCATCCCACTGGTGTTAATGACCCTCTCTCCTTTTCACTGGTCTTAATGTTTCAGCAATCAAGCTATCCTTTGTTCTACAATTCTGCTGTCTGTTAACTGTTCCTGGTCATGAAGCTCCTATTTCACAGCCCTGCAGGTGGCATTTAACTCATTCCAGTGAAGTTATATTTGCTCTTAATATAGCCCCAGGCCCCTAGTGTATTAGTCAAGCTTCTAGTTTATTCTTAACTGGAGAAACATATGTGTTGTTTCATATGTGATGGTGCACCTCTTCAAAATTTGAGATCTGCCCATGTACTCTTTAATACCTGCCTACCACTCTTTAAAGATGTGAAGCTTGAGGAAAGTCAGGGTGTATGTGCCCATTATGGTTTCTGCTCACTGGAACATCCCAAGTTCATGCATGGCAACAGCGGAATAGGCAACACCTCTTGAAGAACTCGATTAACCACCAGTTATTACAATATCACTCTTCCTGCATAAAGCCCCCATTCAGAGAATGGCATTTCCCTTTGGGGAACAAGTGCCAAATGTTTCGAGCGATAAAGATCCCTGTTGGATTTGCACAGTGCTGAATTTCAGTGTGCACTTGGAATCTCAATCCCAGTTATGCCACTTGAGTCCATCTGTGAGAAATCTGTGACATTTCTACATGAGAAACAAAAATACAGCCTGACAGGAAAGGAAAGTGTTTTTGTTCAAGCATCATTATAGTGCTGCTGTTCAGAATGGCAAGATTGTTTTTATTTTGCTTTGTTTGAAAATAAATTGCCAGGGATGAAAACAGATTTCTTTCCATCCCCTAACAGAGGAGTGGCAGTACCAGAGCCACTCAGAGATACAGGAAATACAATGTCATATACTCCCAGGTGTATGAAAGTCCCGTCACATTTTAGGGTTCCTGGGAATCTCCGCTGAATTCAGACTTAATGGCTCAAACCAGCACACAGCACAGCCACTGAGGGAGGAAGAGAACAAGCTGTTAGACCTATGGGGCTCACCCTTTTTAGACTCAAGGCCCAGCTCCATGAACTCTTCTGAATTTAGTGGCACCCCATTTCAAAAATTTAATTTTGTTTTTGTTTTTTTACTATAGAAAAAATTACTGAGCAGTTCTTCTGTTGCAAGGAACTCAGAAATACAACAGGTCAGGATGTTTTTGACACTATAGACTCCCATGTTAAATCTCTGGGTTTATCTTGCAAGTCATGTCTAGGTGCTTGCGTACCTAACAGTGCTAATATGGCATAGCACCCTGTTGCACCATTCAAAGGATCTCATGATACCCCAGGATGCCACAACTCCTTGGTTGAGAATCAATAACTGAAATGGTCTGGAGTGTCCTGAGCATGCCTCAAGGAACTGTGGATCCAAATACCATCCCATTTAGGAGAAGACTGGATCTGGTTGCTTTGTAGCAAGAACCAAACTTCAGTTCCAGCAGCTCATGAGAGAGTTCAGAGTTGAAGCTGGCTTTGGACTCTGGAGCTGAGGTTTCTCACTGGGGAAGACAAAATGCTAAAAAAAGGAGATGGTTGGTATTTGAAAAGTCCTTGGGCCAAATTCCTCCCACATCTTAGGAGCATCTGACTCACTCCTGCTGACGTTAGATGTAAGACTCCTAGATATCCTTCTGTTTGGATTTACTTATGTCCTGCATGGGAAGGATTGGGACCCAGTGTTTGTTTGTCGCTGTTAAAATCTTTATAAAAGATAGGAAGCCTTAAAGACCTTTCCAGATGCTGTTAGATATTTCATTTGTTCTCTGTCATGCAAGAATTGTTCCCTACTGTATACTTTATAGTGTTTTTTTGCTACACCTTGAAAGAAGAGAGTGAAAATAAACATAGGAACATCATAGCCTAGACCAGGGATGCTCAGGTCAGGAAATTTGAGGAGCAGTGGCAATTATTACTGCCACCCCTCCTCCACTGCCAAATTCCAAAAACCCACACAGCCAGATGGGTCCAGGACATCACCCTTTCCTCCCCACCCTATGGCCATTTTGGGGCCAGGCCAAATCCCCTTCCCCTCCAAGCAGCCAGATTGGGGCCTGGCTATGCACCCTCCCCTGCATGGCTAGGTTGGGGCCAGACCAGGCCCCCTTCCCCCCACACAGCTGGATCAGGGCCAGGCCATGCTCACTGCCCCCCTCCACGTAGCTGGATCAGGCCCCACTGCGCCTGCCTCTCACCAGCCAGATATGACCCCTGATAGCCTGGGCGTTGACCCTCTGGCCCATGGTGCAAAAAGGTTGAGCTCACCTGATGTAGGCAAATTGAGACATTTTGAACAATATTTTAGTCTGTCTTGGTTTATATAAAAATCCTCTTCTTCTGGAACTGAACTACTGAACTAGGAAGGATTTTAGTAGGATGATTTAGTCTGAAAAGATCCCACCTTCTTCACCTGTAGAATCCACAGTGGATTTTTCCTTGATTCATTATTTAACATGTTTGACACTGGTAATGGATTTTCCCAGGAAATGTGTGTGTGGTGGGGAGGAGGGGGTGGGGATTCAATTGCACCTGGTGGTTCAATTTAACTAGTCTTACCTCAGCCAGAGATAGCCGGATGACTCCCTTCCTGTCTTTGTCCAGAAGCTGGAACATTTCTGAAGAGCAAGAGAAGGGAAGAAATTATGGTTGTCATGTAGCAAATTACTGATTGTCTGATAAAATGCTGAGGTTTGGCTTCCATTGGTGGCCTACGTAGATTTGGAATTATATTTAGAGTTGCAGTTTCTCTTAAGTATCATTTATAAGCCATTTCACATGGCAGGATACCTGGCTGCATCCACTACAGCAAGTTCTGCATTCATAATAGAACAGTCACAAAACATCCTAAGCTGCGCATACACAGTCCATGATACATAATATGTAGAAATGGACTCAGGATTCTCAGGTCTAAGCAGGCGCTGTAGAAGGTAAATGAGATAGAAATGGATGGAGTGGGGCCAGAGTGCTGGAGACAGCAAGGATAATTGCAAACTAAGGGTATGATAGATTTTAAAAAAGTGTTTCATCTTCTGGGAAGCTCCCTCAATGGTCAACCAAATGGAATAGTTAACATTAGACATACAATTATTAAAAAACAGTGGGCAGATTCCCTGCCTTTGAAAGCAAAGCTATTTTGTTGGCTGTCTTGCACTTTTACATGGCGATTCTTTTTATTTTTATTTTACAGCACCTGGCAATACTTCAGAACTGCTGAGCTCCTTCATTTTCTGTTCTGTAGGGGAACAAGAGACTTACTGAACAGGGTCTCCAGGCGTATCATGCAGGCCACAAAGCCATCAAAATCAATGGTCAGATTGCTGCAGGCGTAGCGGCCGACAATGATTTCCTGCACCTTATTGTTGAGAGTGAAACCTAGCACCATGGAAAAGACATGAATCACTGAAGCAGCAATTTAATGCACTCTTTTCAATACAGTTTTTATGTGAAATCTTGCAGCTGCAGACAGACACAGATGAAGGATTATGGGCTATTCATCCTGGGAGTTGTGCTGGGTTCCATTATCTCTACTGCATATTGTCCTCTTCACAGTCCGTTGTGCTCTGGGGGAGACAAACCTAACCTTCCCTCAAACAACCTTGTCACGCTGTATATTTGACAGTGTCTTGTAGGTTTACTTAGTCCTACATTCCCAAAGTAAGTCTCTAATGAGTCTTGGGGCTCCAGCCAAGCAGTAGAGATCACAGGATACATCTACACAAGATGCTTCACTGTACTGTAGACTAATTTGCTATGCAGTAAAGAATCACTGTCTACATGTGTGTGGCAGTTAGGATGCAGTAGACTAATTTACTGCACTGTCAGATAGTCTCATCATATACAAGCAATATCCAGCAGCACAGTAAATTACTGTGCTTAAACACATGTGTAGACAGTGACATCAGGAATAGTTTACTCCAGCTCAAGTATCTGGAGTATATTCCATGCAGAGTATATTCAGTCACATTAACTGCACATGTAGACTACTGTGTAGCCAATGGCTGGCAGAGTGGGTGAGTCTATACAAGACACTAGGTGGACAGTAGCGTGCCAGGCAAAAACTGTGCTAATAAGCTACTGTGCAGGAGTATTAGGCTACTGCGCAGTAAGCATCACTAAAAACCCAAGCACTGGCACTACTGTGCTGTAGTGCAAGTTACTGCGCATTGATTTAATAACTGGTTAACCAAGTATTAAACTTAATGCACAGTAACTACAGCACATTAATGAACATGTCAATGTGCTCACTGGTGCTGAGTTTTAGGGCTCAGTTTAAGGCCCACATTAATTCTACTTCCTCTAGCATAACTCAAAAAACAGGGATCCATTAGCCAAAATGTCCACCAGGAAAGAGCTTACAGAGACCTAAATCATTCAGGCAACTCTACTCCTGAAGCCAGGGCTGACCAGCAATCCCAAAAAGTGGACAGCACTGACCAGGGAGGAGACACTAATACATCTGCAAGTCTGCTCTAGCCAACAGTGGGGACAGAAGGAGAGGCCTGTAGGGGAGGATGAGGAGCTCACTTCTTCTGTGGGAAGAGCAAAAAAGTCAAGGAAAGGGATGGTGTAGTTAGAGCTCTGAAGCAGGAAAATAGTGTTGGGCTTATTCTTTCTTACTTTAATCTTTCTCAAAATTAAGAAGTGCCAACTCACTCAATCACAAGAGATAACCAGAGTGCAGATGAGGGGTTTAGCAGTTGGGAATGTGAAGCAGAAGGGGGATTGTGATGATATAAAGTGGGGGGAGTAGGATCAGGAAAAGAGAGAAAGGAGACTAAGGTGATATCAGAGCTATAAAGACAGGAAGGACAGTGGAATAGTTAAGGCTGCAACATTTTTAATACTGGACTTTACCTGACCACAGGATCTTTCTACACCAGCTATTTACCTGCTTCTCTGAGGGCATTTCGCATCTCATAAGCATCTATGGTACCAGAATAGTCAGTATCCATTTTCTTATAGATCTCCTAGAGCAGAGGAAAGAGGGAATATGGAGTCTGCTTTTTAGGGTATTTCTGCACAATGACATTGCAGCATGGGCTGGCACACCCCCATCCATTTTAATCTGGCTAGCACAGGTAATAATAGCAAAGATGGTGTTAGGGGGAACGGGATTCAGCATGATCTGACAACTGGATTATATAGACAAGATTCCCATAGAGCTTTTACTCTGTCTGTAAAGCCCATGCTGTAACCTGGGCTGCCATGTCATCCTGGCTGTTGTCAACCATCCCAGATAAATGAAAGCTGACACGGCTATACGCCAACCTGAGCTGCAATCAATGAATCATAGAAAGTTAGAGTTGGAAGGGACGTCAGGAGGTCATCTAGTCCAACCCCCTGTTCAAAGCAGGGCAGTGTGCAACTAGATCATCCCAGCCCTTCCCTTGGCTCTCTCCCACCTAACTGTGGCTGTCCTTTTCCAGGGCCCTTCCCCATTTCTGTAGCCTCTTTCTATATGCCTCTTTACTTTGGTGTATAGACATACCCTGAAACTATGTTAGAAGTGATATCTCATTGGCGGTGATATGCACTGCTACCACAAAGGCATCTTGTCTCTGAAGGTGATGGGAAATTTTCATTGAGCTAATGACAAATGCTGTGCCTTGGAAAAACTATTCTCAGTGGACTGACAACTTGACCATCTCCACATTCCATTGAGGGAAACTGGCCCTCAAGGAATACGCCTCTCATTTTGCAAGCGCTGCAACATATGCATGCCGACATGGGTAACATTTAAAGGGACATAACAAACAGTTGGTAATGCCAACTAGTTTATGAACCAGCTCCGTCTCAGTAATTTGAAACTAAAAAACTCTCTTGCTCTTAGGCATGTTCTCACTCATATAAGCCATCCAGCCATTGTCTGACGGTGATCCAAGTGTCTCCTGCCTATGAGGAGCTCAGTATCTCCTCTTTCCTTCAGTAGGAGTAGGAGGTACTCTGTACCTCACAGAATGAGACCAGGAATGGACACCACCTCAAATGTTTTTCTATAAGGCAAACAGCCCAGGTCCAAAATATAACCTTCTTTAAAACTGTTTGACCCTAGAGAAATTCTGCTGGATATTAAAACCACTATACTGAAAATTTAGGACATTCACAAAAAAATTAAAAGAAAAAAAAAAGTTCCTCTTTATTGTCAACTAACAAATTCTGTTCCCAAAACATACTTCAGGTCATGTCTAGAAAGCAGTGCCAGGCAGATACACCTTGAGCTGTGTGTGAACAGTAAACTTGCATGCCAGCTTCTACATAGCACAAGGCAATGTCATACAGAGATACTCAAGCTAGTTCTGTGCCTGGTCACTCTGGAACAGGAAGCAATAAAAGTATGTTAGCACCGAGCTGCATGAGATAAGCCCTGGCTTTCAGCAAAGCTAATGAACCTGGGCACAGTGCTGAACATCCAGGGCTTGACTGCTTCTGGTTCCAGATCTAGTTTGCACACAATTAGCTTGGATATCGCTGCACTGAGCTGCCTTAAGCCATACAGATATACTTGGGGTGACCTTGGTGCACAAGCAATCGTGTAACATCTAGGTCCTGTTCATTTACACTAAATCAAGTCAATCAAGTTTCTAAATGCTGTATCAAATGCCATCAAATGGAAAGGCAGTTGGGGCATTTTTCTGGCCTTTGTGGCTGGAACACATCATTGATTTTAACCTATATTATATAAAGTCTGAAGAGCAAGGAAAGGAAAAAAATAGTTACCAAATACTTTTGAATCTTCATCCAAAGTGTCTTGAATTCTACAAGTCCCAAGGAGCCAGTCCCATTGGTCTGAATATGTTAAAGGCCTCATTCAAATATTAGTTTTCTATGCCTATTAACAATGAAGAGGAATCATCTCTGACAAAGATAAATGACCTACTGCAATGTCATGTACTTTTCCATGCAATAGGAGCTTTCACCTGTAATCCCTCCTGTGGAGACACACTTGCAGCTTTACCTTTGCTGAGCTGAGGGTCATTAGTTTCTGCGCTCCCCTCAGTGCTGGGGAACAATGTACTGAATTGTTCCTTACATGTATCAGAACTCCTAGACGCAGTTGCACTTCATACAGAGAAGAGCAACCTTCTGCTGAAAGCCCTTTTTTGTCAGACCGAAGGGCCTGACCTTATAGTGAACACTTGTTAGATGTCTGCTGCTTCCAGTGGGTATCAGAAGCTTCCTTGCTTTGTGCTGATTACACCTGAGCTAAGCCAGTAATTCCTGAATGTTTGCAAAAGTTGAGTGGGTTCAGCGATTAAAAGACTGCATCATGTTCTTTTGCATCCTGCAGGGTCTCGTATACCCCTTCCAATGAAAAATGACCCTTCTCATTCTGGCTCCATTGCCTATTCTGACCTGCCATTTTACTGTGCCATTCTTTAGAGCAGTTGGGGGTGGCCATAGAATGGGTGAGCAGGAAGCATGATGGTCACTTCTCCTAGAAACAAGGGAACTTCTAGTATAGGCCTGTGCCCTCAGATCCCAGGACATTACTACCCATGCAGGGCTGCCTGTCTGCTACATTTCCATGCCCTTTCCCAGCCTTGTTAATTACTCTCCTTTGAGAGGGAAACATACTATGAAAATCCCCCAACTCCTCCCCTTCCATCCATTTGGCACGGGCACTCTGGCCAAAAGAAACTCAGTTCTCAGAAAGGTGCTAGATGCCATGCCATGCAGATATACATGGCATGGCATGGCATGGGGAGGCAGTGCTATGCCAGCCTTTCCCCTCCCCAAAGTTCCTCTGATCTTTCTCAGACAAGGTTCTTTGGGTAGATGTGGTATCTTTTATTAGATCAGCTCAAACAGTTGGACAAATTCTTCTTAGCAAGCTTTTGGGTATAAGTAATAAGACCTGACAAAGGGTATTTATGCCTGAAAGCTTGCTAAGAAGAATTTTTCCAAATATTTGAGCTGGCCTAATAAAAGATATCACATCTGCCCAAAGAACCTTGTCTTTCTGTGTCCTTAGATCAACACAGCTACAACCTATACCTCTGACCTTTCTCTGCATCTTTAGGACCCCACTGCTGAGGGAACATATGGTCCAGTAGAAGGATGCACAAGTTATGTACAAGAGCTGTTTGCTGCTACACATGCTGGGTGTGTCCAGCTTGGCTCCACTGTAGTAGGAACCTCCAGAGCTTGCATAATTGTGACAGAATAAATGCCCTGGCCTTGCTGCTGACCCAACTAGCTGTGTCTTAAGAAACCTTTAAAAGATGGGAGCTGCAAACAGCAGTGTGCTAAAGAATCAGCTCTGAAATAGATAAGGTGTCTGCCACACAGAGCTGCTAGAGCTGCTTTCCTGAGCTTTTTGCCTACAGCAAGTGAAGAAAGATGCACAGGGAAATATGGGAAGTGTAAATCTATTCTTATCTTGTCAAAATGCTTTGCAAAGAGGATCCAGGAACTTTAGAGAACAATGAAGTGACATTTAAAGGATACATCTAAGAGGCTGATCATCTCCCTGCAGGTGTTTATGTTAAATCCATCACTTTTAACATCTGTTCCTAAATTAAAAAAATCAAGTCAGAAATACTTTGGACAAATATATTCTGCATTCAAGAAAAATGCAGCCTCCTTCCACTACAGGGAACACAACTACACAAGATGCGTAATGCACAGTAGACTGACTGTGCTTTACAGTGTCAGGGCAAAAACCGTACTATTAGGCTAATGTGCAATAGTATTAGTCTACTGTGCACTAACCATTGCAAAAAAGTGTGCAATCACACTAATGCACAGTAGAGCAGCCTACTGTGCATTTATTTAGTGCTTTGTTTTGCAAATACTATATATATATATATATATATTACACATACATACAAACATACGTACATACTTACAAGTATACCTGTAACCTTGGGAGAAGTGGGAAATCACGGACCTGAGCTATTGGAAGAACTGAACAAGAGCTTAGAGTTCCTGGGGTCTGGCCTGCATCCATCCTCCTGGGCATGAGTATATTTTTGAATTTCCATTGCTTGATATGAATGCTAGGCAACTTATGTTTAGCTTTCCAATAAAGTGATTCTCTTGAAAAGAGACAGATGTGTTCTCTCTTTATGCCAGGGCCAATCGGGGGATAAAGGACTTCCCTTCGCATATGCATATGTAGCTTCTATGGTGTGCAATCAGAGCATGCATAACCATGTTATAGTTCGTAGCAGGTAGATCATGCCTGACTAATCTAGTCTCTTTTTATGACCAGGTTACAAAACACCTGGACGCAGGAGTAGGGGTTGATGTCGTATACTTAGACTTCAGGAAAGCCTTTGATACGGTATCCCAAACCATACTGGTAAACAAGTTAAGAGGCTGTGACTTGGAGGACTACACAGTCCGGTGGGTGGCAAATTGGCTAGAGGGTTGCACCCAGAGAGTCTTAGTGGATGGGTCGGTATCGACCTGGAAGGGTGTGGGCAGTGGGGTCCCACAGGGCTCGGTCCTTGGACTGATACTCTTCAATATCTTCATCAGCGACTTGGACGAGGGAGTGAAGTGTACTCTGTCCAAGTTTGCGGATGACACAAAACTGTGGGGAGAAGTGGACACGCCGGAGGGCAGGGAACAGCTGCAAGCAGACCTGGACAGGTTGGACAAGTGGGCAGAAAACAACAGAATGCAATTCAACAAGGAGAAATGCAAAGTGCTGCACCTAGGGAGGAAAAATGTCCAGCA